TATGTGGGAAACTTTAAGAAGGCAATATAGAAAATGTAAGGAGACTTGTTTTGTTTATATGTTTTGTTTTGTTTTTACTGGAGAATTTAAGGAATTTAGTAAAGTTTAAAGAAACTGGACAAACCTGAATGGTGTCTCATTGATGACAGTATAGTAGTAATCATTCTTCAGGAACATCACTCTTCTCTGTAAGAAAAACAGGCTTCATAAACACCACAGTGAGCACAAAAAGACAGCTTTTCTATTGAAAAAAGAGGTACACGGGACAAAAAGGGGAAATAACTGATATAATAGTCACTAAGTCTCTTTTTACACCAACAGATTCCTGAAGAACAAAATTACTCACTCCTTTATCGACTGAAGTTTTCACATCTAAAGACAAGTTTCCGGTTTCTCCTTTAACCATGGCGGTCCTCAGCTAAAAAAAAAGTTAAGCTATATCAGCACCTTAAACTATAAGTCAAAGAAAATAAGTGAAATTAAAGGGTCGAAAATGTGTGTATGTGTATGTTACCCACTTTTTCTTCGCTGTCTTCCCATTCCACTTCTGACAGATCCACACTGTTGTAGTTGGGTTTAGGCTTTAGCTTCTTACCCTCTTTATACTGCCATACACAAGCACAGGCACACAGACAAAAAAGTATGCTTTTAAAATAAGAGGCATATACTCATAATCCATTATCTAATACCAACAAAAAAATCCTCGTACCAGAGGTCGCAGGTCAGGATGAGACAGGATGTACCCATTATTGGTGATGAGGTAGGCATAGCCATGAACACCCAGCTATAAAAAGACCATAAGCAGACAGCCATAAGGAAGCAAACTGCTGACAGTACTGAAGTACAGCATATATGTTATAGGGTGTGTTACTTTCTGGTTTACCTTGTATCTTGTAGCTAATCTCATCAGTTCTCTCAAGGCAACATCAGTTCCTACTACTCCCAGTAGAATCCCGTGAGATAACTTTATGAGGTAAAAATATCATTTTAGAATTTTAAATATATCAAAATCACATTAAATAGCGCTCACTCTGAAACAAAATATAAACAATAAGCTCAAATAAAATCTGAGATGATACCAGCATGAAGCCTCGATGGAATATTGTGAACTAGCAGGAGATAAGTGAGTGACTTTTTGTTAATCTTTGTTTTCCAGGTCACACTGTTAGAGCAGTGGTTTTATTTTGCAGCCAGCTCTGATCTGTGGTTCAAAAGTTAATACTGAATCAAACAAGGCTTCCAAATTTAAGGCAGCCTGTTTCTTAGCAGATCAAGGCTAGTTCCTTCTGTTTTAACCCTATTTCTTATACAGATTTATGAATATAAACTCCCACTTTTGTTATGATCTATCACAATTTCATTTCAATTTAATTTACCATTATCAACACAAAGACACAATGTGAGGTCAAAGTTGTAAAAAACTACTTACAGTCTCTCTCTTCTTGCTGAACACAGGCATGGCTACTGAGGTCATCAGGAGCAGGCTTTGTGCCTGAGTGTTGAACAGCTGTGATACAATAAACACACTTTCAGATAAATTAGTTAGCCTGTGGACAAAAAATTAATTAATTAATAAAAAAAACAAACAAAAAAAACTAATCCAGGTTTGTTTACAGAGTTTGAAAAAATAAGTGATTTGGAGATTAATTCAACAAGCTAACTCTTAAAAAAGCTAGTACCGGTGTTCTGACAAACCATCCTACTTTGGCAAAACGTCCTACCGTAAGTAGTTTATGCACATTTCTGCTGTCACAGAGTAATTCCAGCACCAATTTAAGTAGGTATGATGGTTTGCCACTTAACTTTGCCCATCAGAGTATACTTGTAGCTCGTATGCATACAGACAGGATGGTTTGCCACTTCATTTTACCCGTTAAAGTATGCTTGTAGGTAACATTCACAAAGGTAGCATCGTTTGGCACTGAATTTTACCTGTCAGAGTATGTGGGTAGCTGTTATTAACAAAGGTAGGATGATTTGCCACTGAATTTTAGCTGTTAAAGTATGCTTCTAGCTCATATTCAGAAAGGTAGGATGGTTCGCCACTGAAATGTAGCTATTAAAGTATGCTTCTAGCTCAGATTAACAAAAGTAGGACGATTTGCCACAAAATTTTAGCAGTTTAAGTATGCTTGTAGATGACATTCACAAAGGTATGACAATTTGCCACTGAATTTCGTGTTGTGCGCATGCGCAGAAACAACGGGTAGGATGGTTTGCCAGGTAGGATGGATTCCCAGAACACCGGCTTGTATAGTTAAAGAAAGTTTAAACTTTACAGTTTAGATTACATTTCAAAATGGACTGAATGGTAAATGGACTGATTCTTATATAGCGCTTTTCTACTCTCCCGGAGTACTCAAAGCGCTCTATACAACATG